CGGTCAGGGTTGTCCACAATGTTCTTGATTTTATGTAAAATCCTTCTTTGCACCATCATCTCCATATACACATATATACACTTTTTAAGGCTTTTTAATGTCTCTTGAAATGGAATTTAAGACCAACTTCACAATAAAAACAAATGTAAAAAAAAAACTGTGACAATTTTATCCAACTGTTTATTTTTGCACAAAGCAACCAGCTGCAGTAAATTTGGTCATTTATTAAAAAAATGTTGAAAATTATTTTAATATGAGACAAATACAATCATCCTACTTACAACTTAACATTTTTAAGACCTGTGAAAGCTGGATTTAAGACATTTTAAGGCTAATTAAGACCTTATTTTTGGATTGATGAATTAAATGCCCTTTAAGACTTTTTAACGATCCATGGGAACCCTGTCTCATCGAAGAAGACTTGATTTATTGATCAAGACCACTTTCAAAGAGTTCAAAAATGTTTGGTTCTTTGTTTTACAACTTTTGCACCATATTGTCAAGTCAAGAAAATTTTATTATTATATTATTATTATTGTAGAAATAACACAAACTCCAGTCAAAATGCTAGCACAAGAAACACTTATTAACTTCTTTATAGTTAAAACCATTTTTATTTATGTACCACTTCCTAATAAAGAAAAAATAATGAACCTCAAAGAGGTAAAACTGTCAGCTCTATGAATAATTACGTACAGTAGTGAAATGGCAGGTGTAGAAGTCATTTCTACCTGTCGTTTATTAGTCAAATTGCTACTTTTTACAGTCTGCTGCTGAATTACAGTGATTAAACATGAGCCTCACCGCAGKGTTGAGTGGTAGTAGCCCAGTAAACAGGTCAGGTTGTTGACCGTGCACGCCTCACCTGCCCACACCTGAGCTCGTGTGCACACCTGCAGCACCGCTCTCCCACCACGATCTCTGTTTCCTGTAAGAGAGAAGGCGGGAGAGAGGGAGGGGGAACAATACCTTAGTCATGCCCAACAAAAACAAAATCCACAAAGCTGTGCAGTGTGTCGCCATAACGTAATCTTACCATGTTTGGAAACAATATACTGTGTTTTTGTCATTTCAATAAAAAAAAAAAGGGAAACAAGTTCAACAGTAAGCCCGATGAAATAAACTAGTTCCTTATCAAAACGATAAGGAACTAATACAAATATGAAAGAAAACTATTATTGTAGCATTTTCTCTGTAGTTTTTTTTATAAGTGTGATGTAATTGTAGCTCATGATTTTATTGATAGTTTCTACATTTTTTAAAATATATAACACTTTAATAAATAATGCAAATATCTCTGACATGAACTGATGAATCAGAGCAAACATTTCCCAAAAATGTAATGGAAYCTATGAGTTATTCATGTAATTTTGTCTGACTAGTGAGACAACTCAGGGGTGCCACTAAGGTGGGGGGCCAGTGGGTACTCATTAAAAGAAAGGTGGTTCTYACGATTGGCCTCCCCTTGGTCAGATAATTTTATGTACATTTTTTATATAAATATAAATTAGGAGAACAAGCTTTAAGAAATTGATTAGTGACTGTTTTTTTAATCAAAAAGTAATATGAACTGTAAAAAACAAACATAAAAGCAGACCTATATGCAGTAGTAGGCATGTTTCTGCTAATCAGCTAACAGCAGAACAAGTATTTTTTGTTCAGCGGACTAGCTTTTTCACTAACTTAGAAAAGTTTAAGTTAAAGTTTTTTCAACTTTAAGTTTGCTAACAGCTAACTAACRAGCTAACGYCAACAGGTTTGTGTCAGTGACATTGTCCCAGCGGTTAGCGGTTAGCTAATTTTAACCTGCGTGGCTGTTTAGCATTAGCGAAGCAAAAAAAATTTCATGTACAAGAGTTTAGCATTAGTGAAGCTCGGCGCTCTGAAGTCTCACACATTGACCATGAGACACACATATTTCATGRCAGGCACACGCCACACTTTGTATTTCTCACGTTAAAACACACGCACACACTGTTTGAAGAAGAACCAAGGTGCAGCTCAATGTTTTCCTCTTTTGCTGGACTGGCCCGTTTGGATGAACCGCCCACTTTGAATAAAAAGATCCATCTCCACCATTTTTTTCTTAAACTTTTCTTTTATTTCCCCGCATGTGCGCGCTGTGTGCAGAGCAGATAGTTACTCCTGTCAATCACAGAAGCCGTCCACACACTGTGCGTCATTTTTAAAAGCAGCGCGAGACAAAAAAAACTGATAATTTCCAACTGTTGCGTGCTCTAATTACGTTTTTATGATATTTTCTAAAACTATTTTCTCACAAAGATGCACAGTGTATGCAGAACATCACACACCAGAGCACTGTTAAATTAAGGAATAACCCAGCTATTTTTAAAGTGGGGTTGCAGGTTTACACCTCACACGATGTTAGTGCTTGGAGTTTACTCTCTGCTGCGTCTACTTCTGAAGCCTCAAGCAGCAACCCCAGCTGCAAATGAGGATGTAATTTTTACTGTATTTTTTTCCCTCTGATACTGTCTCACTAAAATAAATCTCTGGACGCGGCTGCGTTTCACTCACTTCTTTACCGCTGTGTGTGCTTCTGACATCTGACTTTGTCTTTTATTTAAGTTTAACCTCTTAAGCTCCAAGGGTTTTTCTTGATGTTTTTGCTGAAAATCCCATGCTGAAATGTAACTGAGTGTATCTCAGCATTTACAAACTCTACTTAAATAATGTTGGTATCAAAATAAAGCTAACACTTGGGAGATTTTATTAGAAGAATAAATATTAAAACAGCTGCAGTTGTTTTAGAGATATTGGGGATGGAACATAATATTTTTTTCCACTCTCACCTGAACATTTTTTTCATTACACAGTATATAACCCATTTAAACCATAATGAATCAGGCTAAAAACTCCTGGAAACCATAAATCCACTTGTGGACATTACCTGTGCAAAGATTCATGCTGCTAAAATTAACTGGAGCAAAGTTACAGAGGTTTTAGTAAAGAAATAATTTTGCATTTTGTCATTCTGCACAGGACAAACCATGATGGTACCATTAATAAATGTTAAGAAATCTCAAGTTTTTAACGACTAAAAGATTAGTTTTTTTCCTTATCTGCCTGAAAACACTTGTTATTGAATGTTGTTCTTTTGAAAAATGATCCAAAAATTTATTTGTCACCATATACAGTATATTATGTGAAATAATGAATTATATTTGACTTCAGTTGGATCATATTCACTCAAAATCAAGTGGAAAAAACTTTAAAAACACTTCACATCCTATGTTCATATCTACTTTGACTTACTTTAAAAACAAATGTTAAAAAAAATTCCTTTACAGATTTGTTGTAATGTATTTACAGATTTGCAACAATYCCATTTTGTACAGTTTGTTTTCTGATTCAACTGTCTGTCGTTTTAAATGTGTTTGGTGGATGTAAAAAYAGTTTTAGCCAAGATTCTTAGCTTTCTATTGATGCCAAACATGTCCAAGTTCAACTTAAAGATCTTAAGTTAACAGAAGYTAAAATATTTAGAAAATGGGAAATTCTGGTTTGCTCAAGAGGTTAATATTCTCACAAATTGATTTATGTAATCTGGATCTAAACAAAGCACTTAAGTCATGTTGATTTGTAGTTCTAAACATATTTAGAGTGTTTTACACACTGGTTTTTTTAGCGGTGCCCACCACTGCGTTTATATATCTTGCCTTGCTATATTTGTATACTAAACAATATACTGTTTGAAAACAATAGAAAGGTTTTGGTGCCACTCCAGGATTTCCAGTGACCCCCACATAGACCCCTTATTAAATCATCACTGCAGACCCCACTGAAGACACGCTGGATTGATGTTTCCTAACCTGGCAGAATCACAGCCCCTGATGTGAGCAGCTCCTGATTGGTTTCTGATATCGTTTTGGGGAAAGAGGAATTATAATCCCAGGAAAAGCTCAGGTTTGAAGTCGAACTCGTCCCATTCGCCGTTTTTGGACCTTGCAACTCTTCACTGTTCGTTTTGTGCCTTCTGTTCTCAGTGCCGATGCCGTCATCCCATTGCCCTGCAAGGATAAACACAACCGATGAGTCTGACAGATTCACTAATAATGTTTACCTGACTTCAGGAAGAAAGCTCACTCAACAAAAATAGGACSGTTGCTTTCACCGGTCAGTACTTTCTTACCTAACGGTGCTAAAAACAAGTGCTAATTTGTGGTGAGGTGGTTGTTATTCATTAGTGAGTTCACCCTGAGTCATCATGGAGTCCAGATGTTCAGTTCTTCTGAGTCAACGTTGCCTCTGGTGTTATAAAAACTCCTATATTTTCACCTTCTCCCTTTTTCAGCAAAGCGTACCTGGAGGCTCTTTTTACAGGAATGATGTGTTTGACATTCACAAGCGGTAGCAGAGCTTACAGCTTTAATCTGGTTCCAAAAGCAGCTAATACTCTGAAACGCTCCAAAAACACACAGACATCTGATCAGAGTCTAAATTAATTAAAAAAGGCGACATCAAGGGTGAAATTGACAGCCCAATGTGAATGATATTCAATAAAAACTTCTATTTATAATTATTTTATGTTGACAACACCATAAAAGCTAATTCTCTGTGAAATGACCACAGCTCCAGCTATGTGATCTGTCTTTTGTTAACAGTTTTCTTTGTCTCGCTTCGTTGTGTGAACGTAAATTGCTCCTGCTCAGCCTCTTTTGTCCTGAAAAGGTGCACTTCCTGTTAGTGTCATGGTGCGAACAGACATGCGCTTGCTTCATGTTTCTTAAAACACTTTGTTTTGAGAGGAAGCAACAAACGTAAAGTTAAACCTCTTGAGTCACATTTTAGAACAAGGCTAAGTTTACTCAGTCTACTTTGCTTTGAACTTTTGCTAATGAGGGAACCTGCTTGTGCATACACCCAACCCATTTAAAGGGAAAGCCAAGCGTCTTTCATGACTTTCATTAATAACCCGAGGACAACATAGGTACTGGTGAACATGGAAACAAAGGTACCAGGAAATATGGGTACTGGGAAACAAATAGGTACCGGGAACATGGGTATTAGGAAATATAGATACCAGGAAGCATAGTTACTGGGAAATGAAAAGGTACTGGAACATAGGTGAGGAATATAAATACTAGGGAACATATATACAGAGAAACATAAGTACCAGGTAACATAGGTACCAGTAAACATAGGAGAGGAATATAAGGACTAGGGAACATATGTACAGAGAAACATAAGTACCAGGTAATATACCAGGAAACATAAATCCTGGGTAATATAGGAATTGGGAAACATAGGTACCAGGAAACATAGTTACTGGGAAATAAATAGGTACTGGAACATAGGTGAGGAATATAAATACTAGGGAACATATGTACTGAGAAATATAAGTACCAGGTAATATACCAGGAAACATAAATCCTGGGTAATATAGGAATTGGGAAACATAGGTACCAGGAAACATAGTTACTGGGAAATAAATAGGTACTGGAACATAGGTGAGGAATATAAATACTAGGGAACATATGTACTGAGAAATATAAGTACCAGGTAATATAGGTACCGGTAAACATAGGTACAAGGGAACATAGGTACTGGGGAACATAGATACTGGGGATCATAGGTACTGGGGAACATGGGTACCGGGGAACATAGGTACTGGTGATCATGGGTACTGGGGAACATAGGTACTGGGAAACATGGGTACTAGGGAACATAGGTACTGAGGATCACAGGTACAAGGGAACATAGGTACAAGGGAACATGAGTACTGGGGAACATGGGTACTGGGGATCATAGGTAATGGGGATCACAGGTACAAGGGAACATGAGTACAAGGGAACACAGTTTTGAGGGAACATGGGTATTGGGGAACATGGGTACTGGGGAACATAGGTATGAGGGAACATACAGTAGGTACTGGGGATCATAGGTACTGGGAACATAGGTACAAGGCAACATAGGTACAAGTGGACCTATGGGTATTAGGGAACATGGGTACTGGGGAACAGAAAACATAGGTATGGACCCTCATCATGGGATGCCAGGGTCTCCATGGCTAGTTTACAGGGTTTACAGGAATCCTTTTTAGCCTCTGAAACAGTGTCGTAGAAAAACCTGCTTTGCAGAAGCTGAAACATGATTCCCTCTGAAGTAATGTTGTACATGAGAGAGTGACAAGATTAACAGATTGTTCTGGGATTGAGATCCCTGACTTTTACAAAAAAAAAAAAACATGCTCAGCAATGTTTGAGTAGAGCTGAAGGGTCAAATACAGAGTTTTCAACATAAATCACTCAGTTTTCATTTTAAACGACAATTCCTGGAAAGAGCAGAACTATTTTAAAAAGCCATGATTTCCGAGGTGGTATGCTCAAATCACTGCTTTCCTGAGCATGGCAGCATGGATTAGCAGAAAACAAAACACACTGACAGTGGAAAAGAAAACAGAACTGACGCTAAAGTGCTTCTTTTTTTTCTTTCCAGGGTAGGGCTATAGTGTACCTGTTCCCTGAATGTGTCAAAGAACACAAAGCGTGGGGCTCTGAAARGCAATCACTCATTAATGCAAGCAACGATACTCCAGAGACGTGAGCTGTCTGTGCTCAGACTCCCAACTCCAGCCATCTGATAAACTGTTGTAACCAGTCCTGCTGCAGGGCACGACTGCACGCCCCGGTGAAAAACACCACCATCCAGCTATTAGGCGATTTGCACAACCTCAGGCTGAATTACTGCGGTGAGTCAGACAGATAGCAAAACTCATGAAGAAGTTTTGAAGTCAGCAGAGAGGTTTTGATCAGGTCACAAATCTGTAGTTTCATTCCTGTAAAAATACTTTCAGTTTCGCAAAATGACAAAGTCTCGTGGTTTTTAAGCACATGAAGGAGTAATCAGCACATAAAAGAATTAAATATACTGTAAATAAAATATTAAAATACAATTTACTGTTTCTCTATTGATGCCTTTGTTACATAAATGCAACAWATATTACTTTAAAAGGTTTTTAAGCAATACACAATCAGACTTGAGCATGTGTGGAAGTTATAATGATGAAAAGTACAGTATTTGCATGCATTTTTAATTGTTTTACCTCAAAGACTACAAAAAGATGGATATTTATATCTGCTTTCATTGGTCATTTCATTTCTCTCACGTCCATAATTAAATGTTCTTTATCTCTTTATCTAAATGTGCTTGCGTGGGTTTTCTCCAGGTACTCCGGTATCCCCCACCCCACAGAAACATTTACAATAGGTTGCCTTCAGGCCCAGGCCTCCCTTGAAAAAGAGATCTGAGATCTCAGAGGGACTTGCCTGGTGAAATAACGGTAAATAAATAAAAAAATAAATAATAAATAAAAATCTCAATCTGTATTTTCTACCATTYATCTGTGATTGGCTCACAAAAGCAACAGGTCCAGGAGACTTCCCTCTCCTCACTCTCCAGCTCCACTAGAGGGGCCCTGAGGCATTCCCAGGACAGAAAGGGTATGTACTGTAAATCTCTCCAGTGGGTTCTGGGTCTGCCCTGGGGTCTCCTCCCAGTGGGACATGCTTGAAAAACCTCTAAAGGGAGGCGTCCTAATCAGATGCCCAAACCACCTCAACTGACTCCTTTCAAAAGGAGCAGCGGCTCTACTCCGAGCTCCCCCCGGTTGATGGAGCTCCTCACTAGGAGTGTAACCGATCAYCGATCAGACCACCTCTAAATTAACTGGTGAATTAATTATCTGGTGAGCRCAACGTTCGCTTGCTCTTTGTAAATAAAGCAAAGCCATTTTCTTTATTTTATCTTTATTTCATCCGCCATTGAGACAGACCGGAAAAAAAAACAAGATGCTCCTCCCATTCAGACACGTGTCTAGTCTGTGTCCCGGTCTGAACGTAGCGCGTCCACCTTGAGGCTTTGGATGCATTTTAGATGCTCAAGACACGTTCGGTGTGAACGTAGCATTAGCCCGGTCACCCTACGAAGGAAGCTCATTGCCACCTGTATTCAGGGTCTTCTTTTGATGATGCACGCCTCATGACCATAGGTGMGGGTTGGAACRCAGACAGACCAGTAAATCGAGAGCTTTGCCTTTCRACTCAGCTCATTCTTCACCACGACCGACCGAAGCAACGCCCTCATTACTGAGGACRAGGCCCCAATCAGTCGATGCATCTCCTGCTGCATCCTACCATACCTCATGAACAAGACACCCAGATACTTAAACTCYTCCACTTAATGGGCGTTTTTACTTTTTGTTTGCAAAGGATTTACAAAGTATAAAATCCTTTCAAATGATGTTTTAGGTTCAAAATGTCTTCATTTCACTTGTATAGGATCATTATGCGTAGCTTGATACGACAAAGGAACACGCACAAGGTTTAGATGTTGTAACGTACCTGGCTCGTCTTTGCTGCTTCTCCTCTCATTTCCCGGAAGCCCAGCCTCCACATCCAGCTTTCCAAATCGGAGAGCGTAACCGTTCATCAGCTTTTTGGGAGAGATGTTCGTTGATCCTCCAGACGACGATCGCTCCCGGTGGCCTTTCACCTGGCCGGCCTTGTTAGTCCTCTCTAGCGACTTGGAACGTCTATCCGCTCGCCTCTCAGAGCTCCGCAGTCCCTTTTGAAAGTAAAACAAAGGCGTGCCGGGTCTGGAGTCATCGCCGCTGAGCCAGCCTCGACTGCCGAACCTGCGGGACAAGTGTTCTYGGGGAGAGGTGCGGGTGTCGGGGCTGCTCCCTGGTGTAACGGCTGTTTCTCTAAGTCCAGTGCTATTCTCGTGGTTTTCCTCCAATATGGACTCAGAGCTGGACCCGAGGGTCATGGGGTTCTGCAAGGCCTCCATGTAGGATTTCCTAAAAAGTCTCCTGCTCTCAAAGGCAGCAGTGTCTCTGGGTGTACGGCGCAAAGGGCCTGGATTACTGAGGTCAGTACTAAAAGAGATCGTCTTGGTCCCGGTTGTTCTCTCACTACCATCCTCATCCCCCGGTTCTTTCACGCCCTCTTCTCCCGGTCTTTCTATCTTAATGGGGGCAGAAGGACTGTTGACATTCTGGTTCCCGCCGCTGGGGTCCACGTGGATCCCGGTTGGGGAGGTGGGCTCGGAGAAAATGGAGTCAGCTCCCAGGGAGTGCAGGGACTCCCTGGAGCTGCGGTGGCTGTCCAGAGTGCCGGTGGACCCGCTGGTGCTGCAGGTGCTGAGGTGGCCACGGAAGCTGCCTCGGCTGCATCGGGTCTGCATGATGGCGTCCGCCGTGCTGCTGATAAATAGCGGGTTGACCACGTTTTTCCACGGCGTCCTGTACACGGCCGTGCCGGTGGTGAGCAGACAGTTCTGTAGCGGGTGCAGGTTTTGGTCACGCGTTACATTCTGCAAGAACTCAGCCGTGAAGACGCTGCCATACATGCTCTCTGAGATGGGGATTTCTGCAACGGCCTGCCCACTGGCAGACAGACATTTTATCACGAGCTTGGCAGCTTTGTGGCCCAACGGAACGATCTGTAGGTAGAAGTCTCCTTGCTTTAGTCGAACTTTATGCAGGGGGGAGAGCTGCAGGACGACCTTCTCGTGAATGCAGAGCGGCCAGCCCTCGTGGTAGAACAGCAAACCTCTGAACTTCACCTGAAGGAAAGCAGAGAAGTCAGTCATTCCCTCTGAAATATAATTATCTTTAGTGACAGCTCAGTTGTAGCTCTGTTGCAAAGCTGCGTGCAAACACTAGTGGCGTGCAGATCGATACTGAAATATCGATACTACCGATACCATAACTTTATGAATCGATATTAAAATCAGAATATCAATACTTTGATACTTTAGTTATTTCACATAATGTACTGTATATCATTAACAGGAAAATAGTGGAAAATAACTAAAGTATTCAAATCTTGACTAAATCATGTGGTTGGAGGGAACTACTTTTTCTTCCAATTGGGTAATGCATCAGCACAGTTGCCTGTGCTCAGTCAGTCAGTCTGTAGACGTATGGCAGRTCATTTTAACATAAAATCTGCTTCGTCTGACTGTAATTACATTCTAGATGAGGGATTCCCAAACAGCATTAGCTCTAGTCAGGGACCTTCTTGCAAACCCACAAACAATGCTACAAAATACACAAAGTAACAACTTTCTAAATATTTTTTCTCACTTTTATTCATTATTTAAAAATTATTATATTTCTTTAGAATATGAATAGAATATGAAATTTTAAATTGTGCTAAACAAATATAGGGTTAGGGTTAGAAAGACTTTTAAATTAATAAATAAAAGACTATGTCATGTATTATTTATAAAGTGGTTATTTGAAAAATGCTACTTTTTAAGATTTACCAGACACATTATGTGTGTTAACACAAAGTATTAGTATCAGATCAGTATCGCCGATACCTGCCACATTTTACTCGGTATCAGTATCAGAAAGAAAACTGGCCATATCAAACATCACTAGCAAACACGTGTTTAGCCGTAATGTGGAGTCAAGATGTTTTTTTTTTCAGGACACGCCCACTGAATCATGCTCAGAGATCATTCAGCTAAAGACAAAAAAAAAAAAACCTGTCTGATCAGGCCTGGTTTCGCAGCAACCGCAAACAAATCTTTGTAGTGACAGTGTAAGAAAAACAGACCCCGAGAGCACAGATTCAGAGCTCAAGGGTTAGCGTCGCTCTTTTTTTCTCTCTTGTTTTTTTTTTTTTTTAGGAAAGACTGAGGATGTGATCTCCCTCTGAAAGCTCTCATGTTGCCTTCAACACAAAGACTCTCATGCACAGTGGGCTGTTCTCAGGGGCTATCGTCACAGTGTAATCACCGGAGAGATGAATACAGAGGAATAACGTTTCAGTGCTTTGGTCTTAAGAGTCCAAACCCACTGGCAATCAAAGAGGGAATATTAAGTTTCACTTCATACCCAAAAGGATGGCAGGCCCTCAAACAGTTTCCCCTCTGTTTTCCCATTCGAGGAAAAAAAAATCAGCTTAGTTTCAGCAACTTCATCAACTCTGCCTCAGTGTTTGTTACTATGCAGTAGGGCTGCCACGATTAGTCGATTAATCGACGACTAATCGATTATTAAAATAATCAATGACTAATTTAATAATCGATTAATTGTTTTTTTTTTTTGTTCTTTACTTTGTTTTTCTCTCCAAACTGCTTTGACACCTTCCACTGCCACATCTGCATTTCTGTCCTTGGCACACATGCCCAGTAGTGGTAACTGGGGTAGGCCGTGGACGTCACAAGACGTTATACAGACAGGCTCTGGTATCATGGCTACTACCCAACGGAGCTCAAAAGTGTGGGATCATTTGAAGAAAATGAAAGAGAAACCTGTGCAATTTCTGCAGAGCAGAACTTGCCTTCCACAGCAATTATTTTTAGTTAGCATATAGCTAAAATCTAACSATGGTTATATAATAGCAGCTGCATTCTGATGTGATAAGCTGTATGTTTTATTTTCAATTAACGTATGATTCGATTAGTCGACTAATCGAAAAAATAATCATTGATTAATCGATTATAAAAATAATCGTTTGTGGCAGCCCTACTATGCAGTAAAAATTATTCACACTCAGCTGCACCATAACGAGGCTTTCAGGTCTTAAAGGTTTCTTCTTATGTCTTCATTGGGCATCAAAAGATTAGGAAAATATGCAATACTATTGCTGAATATTACTGTGACATTATCTTTTGCAATAAACCCACAATTTCTTAACTTGTGTCTGTTGCGTTTGTCATCACAAAGCTCACAACTCTTCCCACGTGCTTTAGCATTTGATACTTACCTTCTAAATTAGGTGTGGCTGTTTGCATGTCAAATCAAACAAAATCTAAAAAATTATGAGTTTTGCCGTAGGACATTGTTTATCAGTAAAATATGAAGAAATGCCAGAATGTGTTGTAGGTCTAACACAGGGGTGTCCAATCTTGGTCCACAGGGCCACTATCCAGCATGTTTTAGAGGTTTCTCTGCTCCAACACACCTGATTTAAATAAATAAAACAGGCTTCTGTAGAACTTGAAGATGTCATTTAATCACTGAATCAGATGTGTGCCTATTGTTCCCCGAGGTGACAACCTCTCCATCTGCTGTATTTTTGTAAGTATATATAGTCGGGGCTAGCCTKCACAGTAAAAACCAAAGTGTTAAAATGTCAGTGTTAAACTTTTCAGTCAATTTAACTCACCCTTTGTTGGTGTTAATTCACAGTGTTGATTTCCTCAGTGTTGTCTCAACACTGAACAGTGTTAAATAGGCTCCACCCACTGTTAAGTCTTACATAACACTTAAAAGTGTTGTTATATAAGACCATGCAGTGTTGAAAAAAGTATTCTGTAAAGCCCCACCCTCTTCCCCCCATGTCAGACAGACCAGTATTTTCACAGCAAGGAATGCTGGGTAATCTTACAGAAATTATGTGTTTGTATGTTTATGACTGTTAAGTTCATGAGAGTAAAAATTWGTTGTTCTAGTTGTTTTGTTCAGGTTTATCAGTTGTTCAAGTTTAAGTTTKTGTTATTGGCCATAAATCGACACCATGAGATGTAGAGTGAGAGGTACTTCCTGGTGTGTGATCTTAACTCTAAAGTGTAAACTTACACTTTCAAATTTACTGTGTATTAACACCTCATAGTGTCTGTTTTACACCCCTCTACACAGCAAAAGAGTAAATAATCAAAACAGTAGAGTGTCAAATTAACACTCATAGGAGGTATATAAACTTCCAGAGTTAACCATCAATAACTCAATGCAGTGTTGAAAAGCATGAGAATCAGAGTTGATTTGTCATCACAGTGGAGTACCTTATTGACTGCTTAGAATCATATTTACTCTCAGAGTTATTTGACTTGAAGTGTTAAGATTTATTAACACTGTACAGTGTTAATCAGTGTTAATTTTTAACTCTGTTTAGAGTTAAATTGTACCCTGAAAATGTAACACTATGGAAAGAGTTAAACTGATACCAATTCAGATAAGGACCAAATAGACTCGGACACAGTGTTGAATTTAACAGTTTAAGTGTTGATTTAACACTGCAAAATTTTCTGTGTGGTAAACATTTCTTGGCTTTTCAACGTGAAGCCAATTGACTGCAGCATTGAAGGTTTGTTTTTAGCTGCTCTACTTTACCTGACTTTGGGTTGTAATTTTCACTCTGGAGCTTAGGTAGCCAAATCAGTCCAACTTTCTTGTCTTCTGGAAACACTTGTGGCAGTTTTGGGTCACAATTACCCACTGAACCACTTTACCCCCAGGCTATCCATTTTCAATCACTAGCTATTCACTTGTTTGTAATCCTTTGGCACAGACGAGGCGATGCTTCCAAGACATCACGGAAAATGCTGAAGAGATCCAAGTAATTTTTCATCATTTTATTACTGATTTATAAATTATGTGAAACTCTGGAAACAAGCACCTTTTATGATTTTCTTCCAATTTCCGTTTGCTTCAAAACACTTGCCATTTGAACTTAAAGGCAACATGGGTCCAATCAGGAACTCTGATTCCATTACTGAACTACGTCAGAAAGAAGCGTTCTTGAATTCCTCTAATGTACTCACACAGCTCTCTTTCTGGATGATCTGCAGAATCCGTTTGGCAGGAAGCAGGAAGTCAACAAAGCAGCGGAGGCCGTCCCCACGGTACTGTCTCTCCACCACACTGAAGAGCTGCCAGAGGACGGTGGAAGCAGTGGTACAGAAGGGACGGTACAGGGCAGACAGAGCCCTCTGGATACAGTGGTCTAAAGACTCAGCATCCTGGGGAAAATAAAGAGGCGTGTTTAATCGAGTTAGCTAGTTAGGTTAGCAATGATGCTCTTAAGTTAGTTAGAGGCAAACATCCAGGATCCTTTTGGGGTTTGACATGGGAGATTTTGGTTAGAAAAAGTACTTTAATAATCTTTTCTAAGTCTTAATTCCTTAAAATTACAGCAAAGTCGTGTGCTGGCATCAGGGTAATCTTTTAGATAGAAGAAATGTGCTGCATTTTTACCAGAAACGTATATTTGTCTTWGGACCACAGTTTATTCTATTGAATCTAACAGATACTGTAAATATATCAGTCGTTCCCATCTTTGGTGTCAAGACCCCACAGTGGGGCATGGAACACCAAGCGTGGTTTATGAGGTCTACAGAAATCAAATGGAAAAAATGACTGAGATATTTCTATTGTGACAAAAATCTAAAAACAGCACTTAAAAACAGGAAAAAAAAATCATATGATTGAGAAGTCTCTGTTAAGTAGCTTATTAACCACTCTCCTWCTTCAACCAGCAATATCTGGGGTCACTAGTCAAAGAGCTCTTACAAAAGGTAACATACTCATCATCCCCACAGAGAAGACAGGTGTGGGCCAGACCTGGTGTTAAGCTGGCCCTACTGGCTGACTGCTGCGTGGCAAGTGCTTTGTCAAYTGGATGTGGGCCAGATCTGGAAATAATGGCACTGATTACCACATGTGGCCCAAATCTGTCAATGCCACAACCGACCCAGTTGTGGTTTGATTTATGTGTTGATGGTCAAAGCATGGACCACCTCTGGCAAACCACATCTGGGCCACCAAAGGGCCATCATTCTTTGTGATATCTAGGACAATTGGCCCGACAGAACTGCCACAGACAAATGTAGGAAGGTAACCTACTTAGCAAAACACTCGGCCCAGAGACAGCATTGGTTTGCCAGACTGGCAAACCACATTTGGGCCACTAAAGGGCCATAATTTTTTTGCATTATCTGGGCTGAGTGCTACATGTGTTACCTTCCTACATAGCAAAATTGGTCTGGCCCAGTTCCGTGTGACCAATTGTCCCAGATATTGCAAAAAAAAAAAAAAAAAAAAAAAAACGACGGCCGATTGAATGGCCCAGATGTTGTTGGTCGGCACCAAATAAACCAAACCATAACCGGGCCAGCTGTGGCATTGACAGATTTGAGCTACATAAACCAAACCACAACTGGTTTGGTTTAATCAGTGCCATCATTGCCAGTCCTGGCCCGCTTGCCATGCCAGCAGTGCCCACACTTTGTGGGTTTTCACAAAACCCTACTTCAAAAGATCTGAACTATTCCTTTAGCACATGACTGTAGGCACGTGGTTAAGTGTGCACAATCCCAGTTAGTTTAGCAGACAGGAAGTTTGAGTGTCCCAGTGAAGGGAAACACCTGGTCGGAGCAACATCACCCTGCCATCGAACATAAACAGCCAAACTGGAAAGTCCAGWCTGGATTATGGAACRTTATTCTCTAAAAACAATCCTGCTATCACAAAGTATTATCTGACTCCTACATGTCCTGCGTCACTGCAGTCCGACCCCGGCAGAGCAGCTGAAATGCCCAACAGGACCTTTGGGATTGCCTCAGGTCTTAGATGAGGTGGACCTGGTGGACTTAGTTGTGTTCACGGTTCGGGCTGTGACCTTCCTCTGATCAGTCAGAGCCAAGGCCAAACATCTCTTCCACTATCTGTCCTTCCTGARTGGAACACAACAGTGGACCAGAGACATCTGTCTCTAACGATAAGTGGAGAGATAAACAGCTGAACGCCAGCCGGAGTTGTACACTATAACAACCATGTAGTGTGGAAAAGAAYGCAGGGTCTGAATGTGCAGCTCTCCACAGATGTTTTGTTACTTTYACTTGTTGCATTTACATGATAATGAACACGTATTAATCATCAAGCCACATCCTTCTGATTTGTTTTACACACCAGACAGCCCATGTTTCACCCTTTGTAGAATCTGCCTCGTTGACCTGAACAGCTCAGCGCCATCAATTAGAGAAGCGTTAAGTCAAGTTGTTGGTGCACATGCCACAACTCTGCTACAAGGCTCTCATTGTGCCCTCCGCCTCTCTAAGTGCCATGTGTTGTGCCCAGGAACAAAAACGCCCACCTCCATCAGCAGTCAGCTCGCTTTCAATCAGACAAAAATTTCTCTGTGCGTTTGTCACTTCTTGCTGCGCCCGAGACGAGAAGAATAGTGCAGGATTTTATGGGAGGAGACCTAACAAAAGAGAGGAAAGCCCTCGCTTGGACGGACGAGCAAGTTTGTCTTCACGTTTCCAAGATAAAAAAAGAAACAGTAACAGTGACAGAAGAAGCTCTTTAAAGAGTGTATTATTCAACAGAGATTTACAGTGATCCAGTGCCAGTGTTAAAACTGCAGAAAACTTCAAAACAACAATGACTTATAACAAACTAAAAATATATTTTCTGTAAAACTGCAGAGTGAATGCTGAGTCATGAATAATAATGTTAATTTAAAGCTAAAACTAATCAAAAGCTAAAWGTAACAAAAAGCTAGCTACAAATTGCAGAAACATAGCTAAAAACTGAAAGTAGCAAGAGGCTAGCTAAAGCTGAAAGTAGCAAATACTTAGCAAAAAGTAGCTAAAAAAGTAGGTAAAATTAAGAAAATGCTAACTACAATTAAGCAAAGGCTAGTTAAAATATAAAAGGCTGCTAAAGTTAGCAAAGGGCTAGGAAAAGGTAGAAAGTTTCATTTAACAAAAGGATAGCTAAAAGTAACAAAAGCTAGGTAAAATTAGTAAATGGCTAGCTGAAAGTAACAAAAGTCAAGCTAAAATAAATAAAAGGCTAGCTAAAAGTAAAAAAATGCCTGCTAAAATTAACAAAAAGCAGCAAAAGTCAAGTTAAAATTAGCAAAAGTTTAGCTAAAAGCAACTAAAGTCAAGCTAAAATAAACAAAATGTTAGCCAAAAGTAACAAAAGTCAAGCTAAAATTAGTAAAAGGTTAGCTTAAAGTTGCAGAAAAGTAGCTATAAACTAAAAGCAGCCTAAGAAGACAAACAAAGCAGGAATGCTGATGCAGATTTTAAGGAGAACAATATTTGAAAGAACTGAAGAGCTCAATAAATGTATTTATTAAGGGCTGCAACGATACAGGAAATTCACGGTTCGGTTTGATACTTTAGTCTCATGGTTCGATATTTTTTTCGATACAGAAAAGAGAAATTTCCATGCCCCTTTTAACTTGTTATTTATTTATACTAATTATGAACATTTGTTTAACCTCAAAAGTACTGTTTTTTTTAATTAAATGTTGCTGAAACAGCAAGTTTCTCTGTGGATCTGCACTCAAAAATGCAGCCTAGGTGGAGTAGTCGAACACAGATCCACTGATCCTTCAACACAGANAACTGGTACAGACAAATGCAGGAAGGTAACCTACTTAGCAAAACACTCGGCCCAGAGACCGCAGTGGTTTGCCAAATTGGCAAACCACATTTGGGCCACTAAAGGGCCATAAATTTTTGCATTATCTGGGCTGAGTGCTAATGTGTTACCTTCCTACATAGCAAAATTGGTCTGGCCCAGTTCCGTGTGACCAATTGTCCCAGATATTGCAAAAAAAAAAAAAAAAAAAAAAAAACGACGGCCGATTGAATGGCCCAGATGTTGTTGGTCGGCACCAAATAAACCAAACCATAACCGGGCCAGCTGTGGCATTGACAGATTTGAGCTACATAAACCAAACCACAACTGGTTTGGTTTAATCAGTGCCATCATTGCCAGTCCTGGCCCGCTTGCCATGCCAGCAGTGCCCACACTTTGTGGGTTTTCACAAAACCCTACTTCAAAAGATCTGAACTATTCCTTTAGCACATGACTGTAGGCACGTGGTTAAGTGTGCACAATCCCAGTTAGTTTAGCAGACAGGAAGTTTGAGTGTCCCAGTGAAGGGAAACACCTGGTCGGAGCAACATCACCCTGCCATCGAACATAAACAGCCAAACTGGAAAGTCCAGWCTGGATTATGGAACRTTATTCTCTAAAAACAATCCTGCTATCACAAAGTATTATCTGACTCCCTACATGTTCTGCGTCACTGCAGTCCGAACCCGGCAGAGCAGCTGAAATGCCCAACAGGACCTTTGGGATTACCTCAGGTCCTAGATGAGGTGGACCTGGTGGACTTGGTTGTGTTCACGGTTCGGGCTGTGACCTTCCTCTGATCAGTCAGAGCCAAGGCCAAACATCTCTTCCACTATCTGTCCTTCCTGAGTGGAACACAACAGTGGACCAGAGACATCTGTCTCTAACGATAAGTGGAGAGATAAACAGCTGAACGCCAGCCGGAGTTGTACACTATAACAACCATGTAGTGTGGAAAAGAACGCAGGGTCTGAATGTGCAGCTCTCCACAGATGTTTTGTTACTTTYACTTGTTGCATTTACATGATAATGAACACGTATTAATCATCAAGCCACATCCTTCTGATTTGTTTTACACACCAGACAGCCCATGTTTCACCCTTTGTAGAATCTGCCTCGTTGACCTGAACAGCTCAGCGCCATCAATTAGAGAAGCGTTAAGTCAAGTTGTTGGTGCACATGCCACAACTCTGCTACAAGGCTCTCATTGTGCCCTCCGCCTCTCTAAGTGCCATGTGTTGTGCCCAGGAACAAAAACGCCCACCTCCATCAGCAGTCAGCTCGCTTTCAATCAGACAAAAATTTCTCTGTGCGTTTGTCACTTCTTGCTGCGCCCGAGACGAGAAGAATAGTGCAGGATTTTATGGGAGGAGACCTAACAAAAGAGAGGAAAGCCCTCGCTTGGACGGACGAGCAAGTTTGTCTTCACGTTTCCAAGATAAAAAAAGAAACAGTAACAGTGACAGAAGAAGCTCTTTAAAGAGTGTATTATTCAACAGAGATTTACAGTGATCCAGTGCCAGTGTTAAAACTGCAGAAAACTTCAAAACAACAATGACTTATAACAAACTAAAAATATATTTTC